GAGACTGACAAGAATTAGGCTGGGGGTGGATTAATGATTGTGCATTGAGCATTGACTCCCCTATACAGAATTTTATTGTTGTTAACAACCATTTGATCAATAAATATGAGAGATGCCCTCTCAAAAAAAAAAACAAAAAACAAAAGTGGATCTTCTAGCTTTCCACAGTCAAACCTTCAAATGAATGAGTTCTTGTCAGCAGCTTTACTGGAACCTTATGAGACAGCCTGAGCCAGAACCACTTGCGTAGCCACTCCAGGAACCAATTCAGCTGCTAAATTTTTGGTTAATTTGTTACACAGCAATAGGTAACTAACATGGTGAGTTAAATACTAAAAGACAGGTAATCTATTTTGCAAAACCATAATAAAGAGTAATCCAATTTGCTGGAATAAAATAAGGGTCTTAGGAATACAGGTAATATGGAACTGAAAACTTTTCTTTAAAGGAAAATATTCATAATCCTGTAGAATGGAAATAACACAAACACTCAGCTAGAGAAAAAATTATGGTGAAGCAAACTGGTAGGAGTGGATCCTATATATCCTCTAAGGCGCTGATGTTATGCTATTTTAAGCCAAGTAATTATTAACTAAAAAGACTGCAAGTATATAAAATATGCACACACACACATGATAAAGATCAAACTGGAATGAAAATTAAAGTGCTGGTGTTTGAGATTTATGGAATTTTTTCCCCATAGTATTGAACACATAAATACTAAAAATAAGTGGCAAAAGGCAACAAAATCAAAATATTAAATTGAAAATTAAGATAAGTAAAAAGCAGGGAAGTGTATTTTAGAAAAGTATTTCACCCAGAAGAGTCAAAATTAGTAGTTTAGATGTTTAAAAGAAAAAATTTCATTGATTGTAAACTCTACTTATATATCTCATTATTTAATTACACCAAATAATGCTTTGCTACTGAGTTCTTTACTTACCAGTCTTCTGGTTTGACAGCAGAAGGATCAGGGATTTTTGCTCTTTCATCCCAGTCATCAGGTTTCTTATCACTGGGATCTTCAATTTCTTTGGGAGGATTGATAGGAGGAGCCACATCCTCCAGTAGGCTTCCTTTGTTTACAACTATTTGATCAATTAATACTTCAAATGTGTCATCTGGATTCATCACTAAAGACCAAGTCAAATTTATTACATTTATCATATTGATACACATTTTAAAGATAATCTCCTAAATAATCGAATTACCTTAAACTTCATGGTCAAAATTCTCTCTCAACTTGGAAAAGGACTTACCAATGTATTAAATCAAAACATGCTGAAATCACTAGATATCATGCTTTCTAAAATCAGAGATTGTAAGTAACAATAATTTAACAAAGTGTTCCATTACTTATCAAAAAATACCCCACAGTTTTAACTAAATCTGGGCCTCACACAACCAAGTCAGCTTCAGTCTTTTATAGTTACAGATGGAATACAACCCAATTGTCTTCAGTACTTAAAAAAAAAAATTGACCATCTCAAACTTAAAAAGTTGCAAATACACTATAAAAACTAAATATTTTTCCTGAATCACTTGAGAGTGTTACTGACTTCATACACATAATCTCTGAATGTTTTAATGTGTATTTCCTACAGGGACATTCTCCTACATAACCCCATGCAGGCACTAAAAGCAGTGAGTTGATGATACATTCCTATTATTTCCTAGAAATCTTTGTAATTTCCTAGAAGTTGGCCTTCCTTTTCAACAATGCATATACTGTAGTGTAAAATATCTTAAGGTTGATAGGAAATATTCAAGCTTACACTTCGCCATTTGTTTGGAGGTAAGTTCTAGCTTTCTACAAGTCCCCAAGCCAAAAATTTCACAAAGGATTCCCTTATCCATTGCAATAACAAAATAATAGCTCTTTCCTCCTTCTGTAAACATGAGTGGGGGGTGGGTCAGAGGGTAAAACTTTTATCTTTAGAAAATAACTGCCTAACATTTGATTTCAATAAGCTGAGGGGGTAAGACCTGTCAATAAATGCCAGGATCATCCTAACTTAACCAGTTAAGCGGGCTACCACTTTCTGAAGAAATAGTTTTGAAGTAATAATCTCTGGAGGTTTCAGTCACAACAATGCCAAATTATATACATCAAAATCAAGTACTGCGAAGTATTTACAAACTCAAGTAAGAGAAACATTCAAAATTTTCTCCCTTCTTTCTCCACTATTTCCTCTTCTATGACAGCTGAGACTATAAAATTATGTTACTACACAAAGGAAAAAAGTCAAGATTGAAGCTGAGCTAAGTGCAAAATGTACTAGAACCTTCTAACTCAAAAAATGCATTTCTCAAGAAAAATCTTGAATGTTCTGAATAAATCTTGCAACTGAAATTGATTTTTAAAAATTTGTTAAAACAAAAAAGCTCATGACAAATATGCATATGTGAAAAGATATCTTTGTCTAAACCTTTTGGTCAAAAAAATTTCCATTTAGAAAACTGTATTAAATATTTTAAATGACTCTACAATAAAAGATATTGGCATATAAGGTTCTTAGTACAGAATGTTATAAAAATATAGTATTACAGTTTTATTAAAAAGAAAAATATCATTCAATAACCTTAGCACAACAAAGGTTGTGTGTATAGCAGTAAGAAAACAAATGTTTAAGAGTCACTTGAATTTTAATTCCAGGCCTACCAGTTACTATTATTTCCTAAAGCAATTTACTTAACCTGAGTTAAGGTAAAACATAAACTGCTCACCCCACATGATGGATATAAAACAAAGTGCCTATCATAGAGCACAGTACATATTGGGTGATTAATGAAAAATCTTTTTTTCTGGTATTTTTCTATTTACTTACATAATTTGCCATAATTGGCCATCATGACATGCCTCCAATTTGAAGCTCGTTTTTTTTCCCCATCTTAATATTATAAGCAATTCTTCCCTGTTGCTGAACATTTTCATAGTTATCACTTTTATTGTATATAAAAACCGTGCTGTAACATGCTGTTTGCCTTAAATTTACATATTTTCACACATAGGTCATTTTCTTTCTTCTGTATTACTGTCTGGATAAATTCTTGAAAGTGGAATTGTGGTTTCAAAGCACATAAACCTCTTAAAGCCCTTTGATATATACTGCCAAATTGCTTTTGGTCAGGTTTGTACAAAGTCTAATTAAAGTCTTTTGTTCTAATTTCTCATTATTTCTACAATTTACCTTATGTTCCCCAAAACATCCAATACTATTTTCCAATTTCAAAAAAAGCTCTTTGATATCAGTGCTGACATTACAATTAAAATGGACTATTGATTTGGCAGACAAAATGAATGTTTCTGTAGCTGCAGTGTTTGGAAAGAAAACTGAAATAGCTTAGCCTCGGTTGGAGTTGTCCTGTTAGGTTCTGACATGCTGTGATTTTAAATAATCATGGGTGGACCAAAGCTCTGTAAGTACATGGACTTGGGAAGAGGAAAAACAGTCCCTTATCATGTTCATCCCTCTCACTGTCTGCAGATTTCTGTAAAGCTAAGTACATTTGTTAATATATGGTTGCTCAATATTTTTCCTTTCAGAATTTAAATATGTGCTACAAACACCATGAGGCCGGACCTAACAATAATCACAATTGTCTAATCTTTAGAGCTTGGCATTAAGGACTTTTTCCTCTTTGACCTTATTTTCCAGTTTTCTATTCTTACCACATCACTAATGTCACAGTGCCTAAAATATCCTTTCCCTCTTTTATCTTCCACATCCTATCTATACACTTCAGAGACCAGTTCAAATGGAACCTCCACTAAGTTTTCTAAGTAGTATTTCTTTTAAAGTCTTAATGTACTTCATCTGTACTTCTCAGACAGCACTTTTCTTTCAACCTGTGCTGTAATTATAAGTATGTATGATTCTCCTAAAAACACAACCTCCTTACGGGTAGGATCCATGTTTGTTTCTCCCAAAACGTTTGCCATGAAAATATCTGTAGTTAGAAAATATTTTTGAATTAATGAATTAGTTAAAAGGATATACCAAGGGTATAAAGATGAGTCTTCCTGTCTGTAAAGAACTTTTTAAGATCTACATCTGGAGGTTTGGCATGTTTCTCTTCAAAAACTCCAGTTTTTGGATGTTTATGTCTGAAGATAAAATGAAGTTTATAATCTTCTCCACATTTATCTGGTCCAAACATAATGGTATAGGATGTTTTATCATAAAAATTTTCCTTCAAAGAGAGATGAGTGTTGGGATTAGTCCAGAATTAGAATAATTAGTGAATCTGTCTATTCTAGCCACTTGGGTAGAGTTTACAAAAATGTATTAATGCTGATTTAGCAAAGAAATATTTGACACAAGTGACAAAAAAGGATGTGGTAAGATGACAAGTTTTATTTCAAAATAGATTTTTTTAAATGTATAGACTACTTCCTGAAGATGTAGGAGAGAAGCTGAAACCTCCCCCAGAAACAAAATATCTTTAATTACTTTATATAAATCTATATTATTAAGAAAATTAAGCATAGAGAAAAGCATACTTATGACCTTATGACTACAACTATTAGCCACTATTACTCAGAAATGACACCAGAAAATGAGATGACCCTCTTGAGTACAGAATAAAGAGAGATTCAGACACAAAAACAAGAGACATGATGCTTATTTTACTACTAGTAATTTCTCTTTATTTGGCAAGGCCTTCTGATTAAGAGTGTGGGATCTGGAGTCAAGTATGGGATTCAAACCCTACTATGGCCACTTTAGTTGTGTATGGCCCTAAGCAAATGTCTTATCCTCTCTGTAGTTCTGTTTCACCACCTCTGAAGTATGGAGATAATGATAGGACCCACATTTTAAGGTTTCTCAGTGCTTAGAAAAACACTTGGCATTTTTATCATCATTATCTCTTCAGGTGATCAACTTATAATACCTAAAATAAGAGCTTCAACACATACTACAAATGGTGTCTCCTTACCTGATCCTATAATAATAGTACATGAATCCTTTGATCCACATTTCATAGCCTATGCATAACCATGCATTCTAACAAATATTTTGCTGATGTCTCATTTATCTTTTTTCTGTTATATGCAGAAACCTTGACAGTCTATTAGGAGAATTCTATAAGAAATGTCTTCTCCAACCTTCAAGTGGTCTTAATACAACCTGTTTCATCATGAAAACATGTTTAACCTGTTATTTTTGTGGACTGCCAACTCCCGGATTGCCCCCCTTTTCTGTATGGAACTTTGGTCATTTCATTTTACTGCTTTGTTCTGTTAGCTTACTTCTCTGAACAAACTTTTGATTCTTACTGTGTAAAGAAAATAACTCTAAGATGATCTTTGATATTTATAAGCACCATGTCATTTTTTATTTATAGACATGGTAAACTTTTTTTTGTTGCTAAAGATTATAAAACTGATGCCATCAAGTAATACAGGCATATATGAAATTTGAAGGCACACTGTAAAAACTATATAAACTCATGTTGCATTAAGATTTTTTAAGTTCTTTTGGATTTCAGTTGAAAATGAAAATTTGTTTTATCAATTACTCCTTAAAAATACTTATTAACTTTAATAAGGTTTTCTTAAACATTAAAATATCATACCAGATTCAAATCATCAGTGTCTGCTAGGAGTTTAATGTATGCACCTCCACAATCAATACCATCTTGAAAATTTACTTCATATCTAAATGAAGGGAAAAAGAATCATACTGCTGATAAATAAAAATTACTAACTGCTTTTCAAAATCTAATTTATTACTCTCAATTCAGTTAAACATAAATGTTTTACATTATTAGAAAGCTTATATAAAGCATATCCACAACCTATACGGAATATGCAGATAGACTTTTTCTAGCCACAACCTTAAAATATTAAAAATAGAATGATCATAATAAACTACAGAAAAGCCAACCAATTTGGTGAAATAATAATTATTCCCATCAAAAGTGGAATTAATAGGATACTCTGACTAAAACTAAAATAGGAAAACTTCAATTTCAGATAAGGTGCTCACTAAATATATTTCTTTATAAGCTAAAATAGAAAGACTATGAGAACCATAGGTACAGTGAAAGATTTTTAAGAAATTGCTAATGCCCTTAGATACCCAGTTCACCATTAATTTGTCATCTACACCTAAGCCATGTCAAAACATTGTACATTTAATTAAATATCCCAGCAAAGAGACTTGATAATCTCAAACAACAACCTAGAGTGCTTTAGACCTTAATGCCAGGAGATATGGGAATTATAGTAACAGCTATAAGAGTGAACTGACAGGAGCGTCTTTTCATGGATTATAATACTATGTAATTCTCAGTAAGTTTGTTTTGTTTTGATTCAAGGAGCTAGCCTTGTTTAAGCAATGATATACAGACATACTGAACTGTACTTAAAAGAGATTTTTGGTAAACTGATGAATTACATGTGACAAAAATGTTAATGAGAAAATAGCTGTCAAAGTGGAAAAATAGAACCAAAAAGATTATGATTTGGTTTAATTAAATTAAAAGGAAAAAAGGTGAAAATTAAGCAATAGGAACTAGTGATAATTTTAGTGACTGTAGTTTAAAATGTTTCTGAAGAAACTCCAGTGACAAGAAAGTAAAAAAAAAATAGGATATAAATCTTTGGCAGTTTGAATGCAATTAGTGTTTATATTTTGTATTGAAAAAAATAGAGGAAATAGACTAAAATTTGAAGTGATTATCTCTAAGATAATGATTTTTACCCCCAACTTTCTACTGTGCTGTATTTCTCAAGATCTCTACAATAGTGGTTGCAAGCATATATAGTTAACATATGGTTTTGAACTGTGCAGGTCCATTTCTATGGGGACTTTTTACAATAAATAAAAAATTTTGAAGATTTTTCAACATTTGAAAAAACGTTTTCTTTTCTCTAGCTTACCTTAAGAATACAGTTTATACCACACAAAATATGTGTTAATGGACTATTTATGTTATTGGCAAGTCAACAGTAGGCCATTGTAAACTTTTGGGGGAGTCAAAAGTTACATGCAGATTTTCTGCTGTGCAAGGGGGTCAGTGTCCCTGCCCACTGTTTTGTTCAAGGGTCAACTGTAAATTAGAGTCAGAAAGACCTGATATTTATTCTTGATTCTGCCACTTACTCTAGAAAACCTAGGGTAAAGGCAAGTTATGTAAGCTCTAAATCTCTATTGGCTCATTCATGATATAGGGACATTGCCCATATCTACATCAGAAAGGATTATGATGATGATTAAAGGGTATCATGCACAGCAAGGCCAAATAAATGCCACGAAGTGTTAACTTCTGTTATCATTAGAAGAAAGGTTTTATTCTATTCTTTTTCATTTTTTAAATAAAGGACAATCAGTTTTCCTCAAAGCCTTATCAATGTAGCTGACAAAGAAATTTTGTTCATGGAACATGTCTTTAAAGACAAGTAAAAGAAATGGTACATAATGTGAATTAAAGGTAAATATTCATTATTTTAGATAAAATCAAATATTTTACACTTAGCTGTATTATAGGTGATTGAAGGATAAAGTGTTCTATGAAAAGGTAAGAACTAGAAAGAACAATTTTGTTTTTCTCTATAAATGTAAACAAAGCCTTGTTGTCCTATTATGCCTAGAGTCAATCACTCTATTTATTACACTGCAAACTTTGAGTTTCTGAATCATTAACTTGTGCCTAGTATAAACAATTCACAATGGCTTAGAGATTAGTGAAATGTGTATCATATAGCTTGACTGTTGCTAATCTTAAATCATGGGAAAAACGAGGACATATGCAGAATATATATTAACCATATTTTCCTTAGGTTATCATTTCCCAAACTGTTCCATGAAATAGTAACTGTTGGGGGGAAAAAAACTTCTGTAGTCAAATATGTTTGGGAAACACAGCATTAACGTTAAAAACTGGTTTTTATGTGTAGAACTTCTGTTTTAATGGGCAAACATGCTTCCTGGTATCTGAGATTAGGATTATTCTTAGTTTCTAAAACTTACATGACCACCTAATGCATAGTAACAGGTACACACTTGGGAAAAGCAGCTATAAAGTTATGTCATAAATCTACAGTATTTACAGTAGTTAATATGAAATTTATTTATCCCATTTCATTTTATCAATTTTGAGAGAAGATAAACATTCACTCTCTTATGAACTATTTTCCAGCATATCAAAGACAGCTATTCAGTTCTTCTTGGTCCTCCTTTTCCTTTTTCAAGATAATAATTTCATAATTGCTTTAATAATTTAGACTTATTATCCAATTTTTGCTTCTAATATTGCAAGCTATCTTTGCTTACTTGCCCAGCAGTGATTTATGCTTTCTGAAAAATATTAAATTTGATTCATTTTACTCTGGAGAATTTAAACTTTATATTATTTTCCTTCACCTTTTCATTTAAGCCAGAAAGGGTCAAACAGAAAGTGATATTATATTCACCTAATTTTCAACAGAATAATAGTACTTTGAAACTTTCAAGAAAAAAAGAAACCTTGAATAATGATAAATATCAAGCTCAAATATCAGTCTCAATAAGTACTTGTAATATTTTTAATTTGTTTAATAGTAGTGTACTCGTTACCAACACTTAATATTTTAAATTTACTGAAATGACAAGCCAAAGAATCATAATTGAAAAATTAAACCAATCACACCAAAAGTCATTTAAAAAATTTTTCTAAAATACAAAATAGCATTTCAGTTATACCATGTAGGGACATATTTAACATGTTAACAACAAACCAAAGGGGTATTGGAGTGATTTAATTTACAGTCAATAATATTTCCTTATGTTGTAATTAACTTTGGACAGCCAAACCTTCAAAGGTAGAAAGTAACATTTCCTTTTCTTTGTTTTTAATTTGAATTTTATTGGTTTTATAATTGTATCTGGATAGATTGATTTTGGTTTTCTACCAGTATAGGTAAAATAAGCTTGAGGTACTTATACTTGATTTTATGACAGTATATACTCAAGTTCATTACTATAAAACTAGTTTATGTCACATTGTTGGGGAGGGGAGGACTGCCTGTGAAAACAAGTGCCCTCTAAACAGGGTCCATGCTTGAAACACATTAATCTACATATGCATTTTCTTTTTTAACTGAATTGCTATCTTGGAATCTTATCACTGTTTTAACAGCAATGTTTACAGTTGTTTCCCTTCTGAATATACTGAGGTTAATATCTTAATAGCAAGTAATTTTAAGAGAAGAGTTAAAAAAATGGTGATTTTAGTATGCATTATATAGTTAATGTGGCAGAATTGTTTATTGTACTATATATTATAGGCTTTTTTTTTTAAACTGCTTTTTACTTAAAACACCTCAGGGTGTTTGTGTGTATACAGTACTGTGTATTTAAGTAAAACTGAAAAGGAAAATCTGGATTTTTATGACCATTTTATACCCATTATAGCTATCTTCAGAAGTCAAATTATACAAAACTCATACAAGTATCAGAAAAAGTATTCAAAAACATAATAAAACTTACTGAACTATCAAAGGTTTATCAGCAAATTTGAAGGGCTTTGCTAATATAGCAGATATTGCATGGTGCTTTGCTCTAGATTTTAATACCAGTCCTCTGTCACCTGGTACTCGGTTTTCTTTCAATTCTTCTATTTCCCATCTTCCTAAAATAAAAAGCAAGGCAAATTAAGCTAAAGCCAAAAGCAATGACTTAAGAATTATTCATCAGCAGTGGCAACACTTCCAAGAAGGCTTATTTGTTTTAAAATAAAAGAAATTTTTAAATCAAGAAATATATCTGCAACTGTATGTATGCCTGTTCTTCTCTTATGAAAGGGTTCATTTTCTTAGGTAAAATTGTGGAAAGTAATAAAAAACAAACACTACAGCATTTGATTAAAGCACTTCTAAAACTAGCTTAGCTGGGATTTCTCTGAAAGACTTTTTAATCAATGAAATTACAAAATTGCTTTTTCTCATAGAGTTTATCAAGACTTATTTTTAAAATGAGATATTTTAAAGTTACATAGGACAGGAGACAAAGAGCATCCTCAGCACAAAATGAGCAGTTTGCCTCATTCTATTTATTTTGAAATATCTGGTATTCATCAGCTACTTTTCTTACTTTGCAGAAGTTATTGTGGGGAATTAAATTTTATTTTGAAAATTGTATGCCCAGTAAACATGAATTGCAGCCACCCTTCCCAGGCTAAGCCGGTCAGCTCTCGAACTTTTGGCCAAGAATGGAGCATGTACAAGATGAGCATTAAGCTGTAACACTGCCAAGTTAACCCTCCTCTAGGCTGGAACCTCCCATGTTTAAGATCAGGAAGCACCAGAAATTAGATCACAGGCTATATATAACACAAAGCTAGGTGGACTGATTATAGCCCAAAGTCATACATCAGGACTTCTCTCCTTACTTCTTTCTAGAAGTGAAAATAACCAACTTAGATTAATTTGGATAAAATGTTCTAGTTTTGAGAATAATAGGTATTGCCTATTCTAAGGAAATTCACCTTAGCAAAAACAGGCTTATTTTCCAGTACTGTGCACACTTGAAATATTTATCAACAGGTATTTTTGAATCACTGTTTCTCTTTATTATTTTATTTCTATTTAAAAAACCACAACAGTGCAAGAACCTGAGCAGTTATGAATTAGAGAGAGGTATTTTTTGGTCTATCATTCTGCAGACTTTATTGGGCTTTTACAAATGTATTTAAAAAACTTTTCAGGTTTCTTTTCCTTCCGTCCTCACAGTTTAGTTATATTTTTCTAAAAAAAGATGAATTTATTTGATTTTTCTTCTCTCACATTGATGATGTATTCTATTATTAGTAGTAGTAACCTACAGTTTTACGAAAACAAAAAGGTCTTTTTTTAAGATTGGCAACTTTAGGATTTTAAGGATATTTGTAGTAAAGGATTTTTAAAGCTATGCTGACTTTTTGCAATTACACACATACATTTATCAGCTGTGAAAAAGGTACTATTCAAAACCAGGCAAAGACCCCACCAAAAAAAGAAAATTACAGACCAATATCCCTGATGAATATAGATGCAAAAATACTTAACAAAATATTAGCAAACTGAATTCAAAAATATATCAAAAGATCATACACCATGACCAAGTGGGATTCATCCCAGGGATGCAAGGATGGTACAAAATTTGAAAATCCATCAACATCATCCACCACATCAACAAAAAGAAGGACAAAAACCACATGATCATCTGCATAGATGCTGAAAAAGCATTTGACAAAAGTCAACATCCACATGATAAAAACTCTCAGCAAAATGGGTATAGAGGGCAAGTACCTCAACAAAATAAAGGCCATATATGATAAACCCACAGCCAACATTATACTGAACAGTGAGAAGCTGAAAGCTTTTCCTCTGAGATGGGGAACAAGACAGGGATGCCCACTCTCCCCATTGTTATTTAACATAGTACTGGAATTCCTAGCCACGGCAATTAGACAAAACAAAGAAATAGAAGGAATCCAGATTGGTAAAGAAGAAGTTAAACTGTCACTATTTGCAGATGATATGATATTGTACATAAAAAACCCTAAAGACTCCACTCCAAAACTACTAGAACTGATACCAGAATACAGCACAGTTGCAGGATACAAAATTAACACACAGAAATCTGGGGCTTTCCTATACACTAAGAATGAACCAATAGAAAGAGAAATCAGGAAAATAATTCC